AAATAGTAGATTCCATAACTTTATTGAAGAACTGTCTTTAAGAACTGTCACTGGGGTAAAAGTCCCCGGAGTGCATGGTGATGTGTATTTCCACAGCAGGGAAGTCCAGGGAAGATTAAACAAACTAGCCCAAAGCACAATGGATCGAAGTGGGGTTGTAAGAATGTCACATGTTAAATGCTTACTATGGTTAGCACATACCACTGATGGAGGACAGACTGCAGGCAAAGCTGACACTATGGTTAGCACATACCACTGATATAGGACAGACTGTAGGCAAAGCTGAAGTTAGCACTTTTTGCAAGTTTATGCTTGTTTAACTGGTGTTTTTAACTCGCCAAGGTTTTATTACACATACAGTAACGAGCATAGGGACTGTTAACTCTGAGGTCTCTTCGTGTCGGCCTACTGATAAAATGCTCCTTACAAGCTGGAGAACCCAAGAAACTCAGAGTTGCATCACTGCATCCAAATCATTCTTCACATTGGCACATTGGCATATGTGAGTGAAATTCATGTACCGTACAACCCTGTAATTTGACCAGCCAGCAATGTTCAGTAGAATTTCCCCACCCTTAGTTCCTGGACCTTCAGAAAGTACTATTTCCTGACTAGGTACTTCTTTTGGGGGGTGAATTATGCTGTGGAACTAAATTTAGATCCTGGATCCTCTGGTGGAAACACAGGTAGAGGAACTACATTCAAAATAAGGTTCCTGCTCTCTGGAGAAAGTTCCTCTGGTGGAAACAGGCCTGAAGAGACAACCACTCACTCTCACATTTACACTTATGGGTAGTACAAAATCAGCATTTAACCTAACCTGCATGTTTTTGGACTGTGGGAGGAAGGTGGAGTACCAGGAAAAAACCCATGCAGGCATAAACGAGAACATGCAAACTCTGCACAGAAAGACCCCGGTCAGCCACAAAGTTCAGAGCCAGAACCTTCCTGCTGTGAGGGGACAGTGCTAACCACTGCATCACCATCATGTGTCACCCAAATTTGATTTTTCCTTTGAGATAATGAAATTCTCCAAAGTGAAATGTATTAAGTCATCTCTCCTCAGCTTGCTCCTGCTTTGTCTGCATAAAACAGCACTGATGCTAGAAACAGACACATCTGTCCCAGAGTGAGGGCATATTCACTCACCAGGGTGGTCCGTCATCTGCCCTAGAAAAGCCACCAAGACTATGAAGCGTGTACGAGTGCCCGTGGTTGTATGTGGGTACTTCCATGAACCTACTGTAAACAGGGGTGTTTTTCATATGATGTGGCCAGTTGCTTTGCTTTGCTAAATCACCAGCTCTTGTCAGAAATGCTTTCAGTTTGAAATTAGCTACAATGGAGCTAGGGGCACATTCACAACCACACACGCTGCCTATGATCACAGAGGTGATAATATACTTCAGTAGTTCCGTTTATGGGTGAAGAGGAAATATGATAAATGACATTGTAACTACTGAACTGTGTCACTTCATGCTCCACTTGAAAATTGAAACAGCAACCGGGAGAGACAGAGCGAGTGTGAGCAATAGAGTGACACAGGAGAGGAAGAGAAAGGGCCAAGGCTGATGAATGGAAATGCACCTCTCCTTCTTCATGCTTCCGTTCCCCCCTTAAGATGAGCTCGTTGTCATGGTTACTCTATCAATCACAGCATAAAGCAGTCAAAAACCACTGCTTCACTTTTCTTCTTATGCCAAACCTTCCTTTCTTACACTCTGATGCACATAAATGTGAACACACTTTGCAGAGGAAAGACTAAACGATCTATCAAAGCACATTGTGTATCTGCAAATCACAAAACAATGGAGGGAAATGAAAAATGTCCATTTCTTTTTCTCTACTCCAATTGCTGCAATACTAGCCTTACACACACTACTGAGCTTAAACACACAATATTGCATGCATGCACATGAAAATCTAATTCTTCGCCTGGGAAAAGAAAAGAGATCACTAGGGGCTTTGCCAGTCATTCTGCAGATTCAAAGCAAAAGGGGATAAAAACAAGAGCAAAGAGCCACATTTGAGCTTGTGTTTGTGGAGGGATGAGCATGTCTGCATCGTCTACTCTTATTGCTGCTTGGAAGTCTTTAGTTCCATTCAGCAGCAGATGGAAATCTGAGGGGAGGAAATGGCCTGTGTGCCTCTTTCAGTTTAAAGATGGGTTGTCCTGTGAGAAATATAAGGTTGCTTTCATGAAGCTGTGATTGCCAAGATAGGGCAGGACATTTCCCTACTGAATACGCACAAGAAAACCACATGAACTTCCGTTCTGTCACTCACATACTCACTCACAGACCCAAACAACAAGCAATTTCCTCAGTGTCCATGTATGATGTGGTGAAAGGGCAACCAGGGACTGTACCCACCACATCTGCAGGCCCACTGGAAAACAATAAGGGTGTCAAAATGAGCGTCAGACATCTTACCGCACACACTGCAGCCACCTATAAATGGGGAAAAACACTGCATTGCACACACAGACATGGATACTGACACACATACTTACACTCAGTCTCTCAGTTTCTCTCACACAGCAGGCACACTCAAACATGCACCAGAGATGCCCATAAAATGTGGACACAGAAACCTCAATTCTAATTGTGAAACTCCACATGCCACAGAGCCTGCAAAATCTTTAAGCGCTTGCTTTCTCATTTCTTTTGCGGTGGGTTTATTTGCGTTGAAAATATCTGCACGTCACAGCGCCAGCCGACACAATGCACATGTGGTAGTCATCAATCATAATTATCATGGTTTAAAAAAGCCACAGCTGTTATTTGATTTTAAAAACAAGCCATAGTGCAGCGCCATCCAACGATACGTCAAGTTGTCAGCGGAGGCCTTGGCCTGCACAGCAGAAAAGTCTCTCTTGCTCTCTGGCTTCTCATTGAGCTCGCTGGAGAGCACAGCCGAGCTGAGCTGCATTCAACCTTTCCCCATGACTCATGACTCACCACTGTGTGTCTTTATTTTCAAACATTTTTTCTCTGCATTGCTGCATGTTTATTCTGTCCAAGCAAGGCCGCTGTTATGGACTTCACACAACGTTTGTTTATGGCTTCTTTAATCAGGACCATAATGGAGCGCTGTCTCTATCCGTAGGTGCATCACCAGAAGCCAGGTGATGTGTGTGTCTGTGTGCCTGTTGCTTTAATGATCCTGTTTGAATGTTCATATAAATACTTTCTCAGTCAAATATTAGCAAACAGACAATGAACAGGATAAAGGCACATATGTGTATTGTTCAGGAGGCCTCTTGAGATGACTGTGTGCTTTGTGATATCACCCAGTCTTGGATATATTAATTAGTTTGCTGTTATTGCTTGCTGTGTCATTCCAAAAATAATTTTGTTATCACTTATATTTACCTCTGACTTTAATCAACCATTAGTGCATTACACTTGCTGCGCAGGTTCATTCTCAAATTACTGCCAGGAGCCTGAGCAGATTGTACCAAAAAACACAACACATAATTTACATGACATCACCACAATACATTTGTGGAGAGGGAGACTCACTGACTGTTTCATGATGGCAACAACAGCAACAGGGTTTGGAGTCTTCACAAGGAAGATGTAATAACATATTATTCATTAATTTACCTAAATTTTCTAAATTAATTTACTTAATATTGTTTAAGAAAAATACTGCATTACATGTTTAAAGGAGCTTATGAGGTATGAGATTTTATATTTAGAATTTTCCATATAAAATTTTTTGTTAGTTCAGTCTACTAAGTACTACTAAATTTTACAGAAACAGTGCTGCCATCATTGTGTGTGTTGGCGCCGCAGATAGCTGCCTCGGTTCTGTACCGGAGACAAAGTTCTCGTGTGTGTAACATACTTGGCTAATAAACGTGACTATCGTTAAGCTAAATATTTAATATCAGCAGAAGATATAAATAGGCTATATAATTTTCAGACCTACAAAATTGGATTTTTTTCTAAATATTACCGGCTCCTGAAATATCCAAATTTGTGAATCAGAGTGTTGGTATGCAGCCCATTTTCCAAGATGAATGCAGATCACACCTGCAAATAGGTCCATCCAGCTCCCTATCAGCTTGGCCGACTTGACAAACAAACAGCCAGTGTGTCAAAACTCCCCACTGCTAAGGGCTTCTGAGAGCACAGTTTACACTTGCTAGCCCGGTGGTCTGGCTTTATGAGCAATGGTTAGTGTCATACACACACGCACATACAAGCCCTTGTCTTGAAAACTCATGTTAAGATCCCAAAGGGCTTTGAAAGCAAAGAAGGGGTGATGTAACACCCCCCTGCTTTCATTGTGTTTATCAAAGAGGTGACCTTACATGATTGGAGCTACAAGGTTATATATGTTTTCTATCAGAGGCTTACAATTTGTCCGCATACTATCCTAAGTGTTACCAATGGTTATGTGTGTGTTGAATGTGCGTGTGCATGCGTGCATTTATCCGACCATCCTGCACCTCTCTCTCTTTGACCACAGTGCAGCTGCGTCAACACTCACCCCCAACACACCCTCTCACATCAGTGTGTCAGAAAGCAAGGAAGAAATGGACTGTGTCTATGTTGCAGCTTTGAACAAAGACAGAAGTAGGTAGCATCCAGAGACACCTGGGGGAGAAAAAGAAGAAGGGAGACGGGGAGGGGGAGTGACATAGATATGGAGGGAGACTGAGGGGTCAGATCTGTAAGAAGGTAGAATGAGACATCTGGAAAAGAGAAAAAGTCACTGGGATGAGGAGGAAATTACAGCTGCCCAACAGTGAATCACTGGGGAAAATTCTCTTCTGCATCTCCTTCTCCTCCCTTTCGTCCTCCAACCTCTCTACCTAACCCTCTGACCTCTCTCCGTGCCCAACTCTCACACTTGAAGACTGATCGCCATGTGAAAAATGCATTCTAAACATTTGCAATTTCATGTATCCCGAGTAGCTTCAAAGAACATCAATAAGGTATATGATGACTGACACTTCAATACTGATACACCCTGTTTTCTCTCTCTAGGGATCTGAGTATGAACAACATCAGTGAGATCCAGCCCAGAGCCTTCCACCGGCTGCACCTGTTATCAGAACTGTGAGTACAAAATCATTCAACTCAGATTCAGTGAATAAAGCTCATTCTCTGAGCTGCTGATATGTACAGATCTCACTGATAGGTATTGATGACTCTGGCCTGCTTCTGATCTCTCCTACCACGAAGCTGCCTGTAGCAATACACTAGTACATCCTGGGATGGCTGCAAAAAAGAGAGAAGCAAAGGGAACCTGATATTCACTCAGAGAATATATGCTCCTTAAATTGTTCAGAGAGCAGGTTCTGTATTCAGCCTATAAGCTGCTGCTTTCTTGCCCTCCTTAACTTTATTTCAGCTGGACAGCTCAGCAGGAGCAGCATACACGTAGACACAAGCCCTTGCCAAGACAAACACACACGCTAGGAAAACTTCAGGACAGGATTGTGGAAAATGAAAAGAGCAAATGTTTATATTTTTCTTGTTTATAATAGTGGTTTCAATGATGAATCAATTATCAGTTAATTGCTATTAATAAGTTAATCAATTACAATTAAGCAACAACATAATGAGCAACACTCACCCTGCTCTGAGTATAAATGCATTTTACAGGGGGCAGATTTCTTGGACTAAAAGTTGGTGATTAAGAAAATTGCTTAACATTTGCAGACCTAGCTTATACAATTAATGATGCATATGGTTGTGTATCATTAGAAAAGTTTTGACATAGATGCCAATACACTTAATGTGTTTAGTGCTTACACATGCTTTCTTGGCTGGAAACATTTTCTTTCTCCAAAAAATTCATTTAACAGAATAGGTAATGCGCTGCTAAAGACAGCTGAAAACTAATATAAATATGATTTGAATCTGGGGATACATTCTCAAAATTTGTAAACAAGAGCCAGAATTGAACCTCCAAGTCAAATTTCTTGTATTCTATACTTTTCTATATTCATAAAGCTGATGTAAAAACAAAATTGCAAAACATTTCAAACACATTTTGGACTGACCTGGCTGATATGTGACCTGACCACTCAACAGAATTCAGCGAAGTCTTGGTTTGAGAGTGGCTGTCCACAGATTTGCCCTAAGGGTGTGAATGTGTGTGTGAGTGTGTGGTAATTCATGGCGGCTTATGTGTATATGCCAGCCTTCACCTGATTCTTTTACTTCTAAAGCCTGCAGTGCGTGAGTGCGTTGGGTGTTTGAACAGTCCTCTGTTTTCTTTGCTAATTCTTGCAGCTGGAGCCTGTAAGGCATGAACTAATAATGATGAAAGTAAAAGGTTAGCTGGAAAACCATTCAGTTGACTTTGAGTCACAGTCAAACTGGATCTGAAGAGTAGAATGAGGCAGAACAATGAAGTTGTATGATGACCTTGATGTTTGAGAATTAAAGTCAAGCCTTTAATTTATTGTGGTTTATTGAGCTGCTGATCTGAACTTTGCTGTAAAGGTCAAATATAGCTGTTGGTGTAATATCGGAGCCATACAGTACAGAGTGATGCTGAATACTGATGTCTTGGATGCAGCTCTACCTGCAGACAGTCCTCCTCAGTGCTTTACAGCCCTGCTAATCTTGCCTCCTCTGTATCACTCTCATGTTCTGACATTTTAAGGAGACATTCCATTGCTTTGTACCTCTTCCAAAGAGGATGTTACTTCCCTAAGCCAGTTTTTACAGCCTGCTGACCATTTCTGGAGACATGCTGAGAAGATGATGAAGATTCAAGGAAGGGAAAAACACGTTTCATACATCCACTCCTGTCTAGAAGGTTTAGAAAGATGAAGTTAAAGATCAAGTCATGGTGAACACATTATAATTACAACATCTTATAGTGCTTTGAAAAACAAACTGAGACTCAAAACACAAACATGGTCGGTTTGAGAGCGAGAGCGTTTGATGTGGTTCTACAGCACTTGTTGGTAGTACAGGGGAGAGGCAAGGGCCAGGCATGCTGTGACTGGAAGAGTGATAAACTATTTGATGTTGGGCTCTACCTCCCTGCCTGCCCTTTCTCACTCTATCTCCCTTGTTTTCCAGTTCATTTCTACAGCCTCCCATCTCTAACTACAGGCTACTACAAACTCAAGTGACTGGCTTTGATAATGTTTCTACTTTTTTCCCCTTCTGGCACACTCTGTATTCTTACAAACCCCAACTAATCTGCTTATGGCAAGTAGTCTATCTTTCACCCAAATTTACACAGTGGGGAGTGGAGGGAATAAGATCTTATGAGTCATAACTGTAAATTGTATCATGGTGCCTATTATCTCTTTGTTCACTTCTCACCTCTGTAGTATCAAAGTACATACAGTTAATCCCTTTGAACCTCAAATTAAGTGATTAAATAAATTTACAAAGCAAGTATGGCAAATGGATCTGGGCCAAGCCTCACTTTGATTCATTGTGACATTAATATTGATAATAACATGTAACAGCAATTGCCCCACCCTCCAGCTCTTTCTCTAACCCTAGGTTCTTATTTCTGAATGTTTTTCTTCAGATGGCTTTCATTAAAACTTCATTTAGCGCTTTGATCAGTAAATAGCTTCTTAATTCAAACACACAAACCTGCACGCATCTGACAGACAGCGCATAAGAAGAGATGACTGAGACGCAAACTGCCTGTCTATAGATTAATGAGAGGGCAGCAAAGGTACAGACTCTGAGAGTAGCTACTCATCTACCTGGCATATCAAAGACACCAGCTCTCTTCAAATGTTCTGCTCTGATATCAAAGACATGCTATCTATTACTTATCTAATTGCAACTTGGAACAGGCAGGGGTTGGTTTTAGATAAACCATCCCCTAAACGCATCAGAAGGTGACTGTCCTTTCCACCTATCATCAGTGTCAAAGTCCATGCTGTATACCTCCAGAGATCATATTTCACACTGCTGTTTTCCTTTGACTCCCCTAATAATCAGCTGTTTGGATTGAGTCTCTCATGCTCACCTTATCAAACTTCCTAAATGCAGAGCTGAAATCTGACCAGTCAAAGTGGCCTTATGAGGGTATTTTTTAAAACTCCCTATCAGTGTTAGCCTTGACACACAATGTCTCGACACACAGTATTTTCATCTTAAGTGAATGTTGGTATAATATAGTGCTAGCTTCTGCTATAAGCTCAAGATGGAAATCTGATCTCATCTTTAGCAGTATCCTCCAACCTGAGAACATCCATCCAGTCTGTGTTACTCCAGCTCAGGTGCTCTACAATGCTCACACAAATGAAATTTAAATGTAGAAGAAGAGAGGTGGTGAGTGGAGGCCATTGCTGCCCTGCTTGTTTTCCCCTCAGTGATAAGATTGTTTGCTGATAGGCCAGAAGTGACATAGGTGAGGGTTAAGGGGTTACAATATTGGCTGTTTTCATACTCCAGGTGCACAACACAGCTGGGACCATCTAGGTCAATTAAAACATTTCCTTTTAGTTTTGCCAACATTGGTTTTGTCTTCTTGTCTCTTTCATGTACCCGCATATACACTCCCACACACATTTCTGCAGGTCTGTATTTTACTCCAGTAATTTCAGAGGCTAGCGCCAGATTAAGTGATTGACACCCAGGCTGGAACTCTGAACAGAAAGGGGGCCAGCATTATTTTCTGATGGACCAAGGGTGAAAAAGCTTTTACATGTAGATACAACCACACATGAGCTGCTCTCTCTTTGATAAGAACTGTTTATACTCTTCTTCTTTCATCATTGACTCCTATCAGCCATCCCAGCCCTGCTGCCACTATGAAGCCCTATCACTACTTGCAATAGTTTCCCCAAAATATGATGCTGTCTTTGTTCTCTAGCTCTCTAATCTGTCTTGCTGTTTATTATTTTGTGGCAATAGGACATGGTGACACACAGGCTAAATGGCAGTCGATATGCTTCAGTAAAGCCCCCGCTAATCAGCTCTGACAGCAGGGTGGTCTCACCTTTGTTACCAGTGGCAGCACTATTGTCACAAATGTCTGAACTGCATTTTATCTATGAATCACTTCAATGCAGCTGAATTATGCTGAGGTGGATTTTTATCTATGCAGACCTGGGGCCAAGAAAAATTCTAAAATTCTCCAAATCAAATTAGAAAAAAAAAGACAGTTGGAGCCACAGTTTGACAAGAGCAAGGCACCTTTCATTAGAATGAGATTGATGTGGAACAACTAGGAGGCTAAGTTTGGAACCTTCACATTTACAATCATACACACATGTACACACATAAATACACACACTGATATCATGGAAACAGCTGGTAATTCACAGTGTTCTGCCTACGTTTATCAAGAATGTCTGGACCTTTCTTTCCTTTTCAATCCATCTTCACCTTTGACATAATTATCCATCTGACAAATGAAACTGTCAAAAAAGCATGATTCCACTCTATTGCAGTTTTGGTTCCAGTGGTGCAGCTAAAAGAGAAAGGCTGGGTTGGCAGGAGGATGTGCACATCCCTCAATGGCCTTAACTACAATGTTTGTTTTCTAGATTGCAGTCACTCCTCATAGAAAAGATATTTATTTTTCTTTTGTTCTACCTATATCTTTTTTTCTCTCCAGTGTCTCTAACTCGCCTTTGAACAGGAACCAGAAGACGGCACTTAGAATTAAAAGAAAGTGGCTTAGATCTATTTTACTGGAGTCAGGACCTTGGCAAGGCTTATTGAAATAGTTGCCTCTGGAAAAGCAACTATTGAAACAGTCCCTGGTGACCAGCTTGTGCAATAGTGGAAACTGAAATGGTATTGAAGTAGCAGACCTGTCATCCTCTGAGGAACAACAAACAGGCAGTATAGAGTAGAGGTTTCTTTGTGAGTAAAAATCAGATCTAAGAGCAAATCAAACTTATTTATCTTGAAATAAGAATAAAAGAGCTGCAGTCAATACAGATCCGCTCTGTCATCTGCATCTTTCATCTCTGTGAAATCTATATTGAGGCATCACGTGGTGCAGTCAAAGACCGATTCAACAAGTTTTGACTGTGGTTTGAGAGGCATGACTAAATGGCACCACAATAGCTTGGATAACAATCAGTCCATTTTGTATTTTAGTAGGCATATGTGGGTATGCATCTATGCGTATGTGCTGTGTGTGTGTTTGTGTTGATAAATACAACCTCTAAAAGAGCTCTAAACTGGGCTGAGTGTGAGATTTGGCAGGCTTGGGGGGAGTTGTGTGGTTTGCCACTGCACACTAATAAGTCTGAGACATGTTGACATGAGTATCAGATGTCAGAGGGAGTTTGCTAGGAGCCCTCAGCCATTACCATCTGGATGTGGTGGTTTGGAAAGGCAGACGGCGCTTTCTATCAATATTTCATTATCCTGGAACTGATGGAACAACTCAGCCAGAGGCAGGCTGCTTAGCATAAGATGTCAGGCAAATGTCACCTGTAGAGCAACAGAATGAGAATGAGGATGCCATTGAGTAACTTTTAATTTGTGTATGTGTTTAATAAAACTGGGTGGTCTCTAGCTGTGAGGACTAAATTTGTGTTTAAACTGCGCTTCCAGCTCATGACCTTGAGAGTTACTCTGTTGGACCGAATGTTATTTATTTGGACATCTTATACACACTCACAAATGACCATTAGGTGCTGCATTTGATAAACAAACTGATTGGATTGTTTGTGTGAATGTGTGTGGTTTCTTCTCCTCACTGTCCTCAAGGCCCCTCAGAACAGGCCTAATCTACCTCAAGGACATGGAAAATAGCACACACAGTCACAGTGCACACACATGCGCTCATAGTATACACCTTACTATACACACACATAAATACACTCACATGTGCACAAGCAAATATGCTCTCACACTGCACTTACTGACCCAGTCTCATTCAGTTCAGTCTTTACTCACTCATCAAAGCTCCCAGGATTGGTTAAGGTTTCAGGTTGTGCTTTGGGGCCAACAGCAACTACGCTGAATGGGATAGAATACTGCTATTTGCATACTGCCCTAACAGTAACCCTGAAGCACTGACTGAAGGATGAAGTAATATCAAAGTTCAATCCAAAAACGTAGAATAAAGGAAAAGGCTGAACTTTTCTTATGGAACTTGTAAATGTTTTGTTTATGCACTTATATTTTTCATTTTAATATTTTGTTCTTTCCTTTCTGACCTCCACCTTCCTCTCTAAGGCGCATCTCAGGGAATCAGCTGAGGTATATCTCAGGCCACGTTCTCCAGGGTCTCTACAACCTCAAAGTTCTGTAAGTAACCTCCTCGTCACTCCCATTCTACCTCACTGGTTCAGTCCTCATCTCAGTTGGGCTGTTCCACCCCAGCCTTTCAGAGGGGGGATGTGCTCCCACCTTAAAAAATAAAACACTCAGGCCACGCATCATTAACTGCAGTTAAAGTTTATGGGCTGAGGTAGACCTGCCCCACTTGCATCTCTTTCATTCTCAAACAGGCCCTGTTTTAGTTGCAAGCATACACACACCTACACACTCTCGCAGGTGTAATGCAGGGACCTCCCAGTCACACCACCCACCAAGATTACAGCAAGTGACAAAAAATGCACTTAAAACACCATTCAAAGATGTTCTCCTAACACTCCATTTCTCATAAAGGTGAGTCACAAAAAATGGCAAAGCATGGTGCCCTGTGAGTGCAGCATCTACATGAGCTCTAGCCATATTTCTAAATGGTGCAAGACAAGAATATTAAAAAGAGGTTTTCATGAGCCTTGGCAGCCAACTCAATTCCTTTTGGACCCTGGCTGAGAAAGGTTTGAGAAGCCCTGCCACAGAATACAAACGTACCTAGAGAACTGTGGTTTGTCATTTGAGGGAATCTGGGGGATTACCAGGCACACAAGTTGATCTGTTTTCACCTTGTGGTGTAGAAACTCATCCAGACATGTGAACCGGGCCATGAATCCTGGGTTATTATGTCATCACTGCAGAAGGACATGCATATCCTAAATTCATCCATGTCTGCAAGCATTGATGCTTCACACTATAACACCCAAGCAAGCTTCGAACAGTCTTTCTGACCTCAGAACAGCTCAGCTGTTGGCTTGCTTCCTCAATATATTAGTTAAAGTCAGGCTGTGTCAAACATAAATGAACTGCTCCCCTTGTGTAGGGTAAATGCAAGGTCTCTGAAACAGGAAACGACTCAGAAAGCTGAATTTACAATATCATGGCATCACCATCTCAATGAAAACATTCACCTGATCCTCTCAGACCTGCAATGCACTTATTTTATGCACTAACGAAAACATACTGTATCTTACGCAGAGATTTATTGTGAAGTATTCTACGCTACAAAAGCATGTGTCACAGTGAGGTATGTAAATAAGTAGAAAAATGTGCTCTTTACAGCTCAAGACATCCAGAACACACTGTTGCCAACTTTAAACCATCTTTTACAGTAGAGCTAAAAATGGATATATAATCAAAATGTTAAATGTTTGTCTCATTCATTACGAGACAGGAATCATACTCAAAGGTACAACATGTGTGTAGCATATTAATCTTAATGTAAGCTCATATATTAAACTCAAATTACACTTACAGACTGACCATGAAGCGACAATAAAAGCTTAATGGCCTCGTGCTCATGTAAGATGACTGCTCACCATAAAACTTTAAAGAAAGAAGGAGAGAAAGACAAAGAAAGCAAGGGAGGGAGAGAAAAGATAGAAGGTTATTGTTTGCTCCCCACTTCCTCCTCACTTTTTGCTCCATTATTCAGAGAATGACATCATCAGCCCACCCAAGGAGGTTTTCTTTTTCTTTTCCGCTACTCGTCATTCTCTGCTTCTCTTCAACCTTTCGCTGGCCATTTCCTCCTTGTGTCAGATTTCCCTCACTATGGAATTTTTTTGTTCTGCTTATTTGCCCTTACACATATGCTCTATCACCTATAGACCTCCTACTCGTAAGTGAATAAGCTGTATGTGTCTTTCAGGATGCTACAAAATAACCAACTGGAGAGACTTCCTGATGATGTTCCATGGGACCTACCCAACCTACTGTCCTTGTGAGTCTCCCTCTTACACACACAAACACACACTAATCATACTATGCTGCCTCACCCAGCATGAAATGAAACATCCCCTGGCCACCCACCCACACATCTCATTTCTAACCGCAGTGCAGGTATAGGGTACCACTGGCATATCACTGACCATCCCACAGCATTCAGTGCTGTACTTCCTTACAGTAGGAGTCACAGCCCAACTGTTTGGTGCAGTTCATGGTAGCATCTGGAAGCCATGAGGGAAACAGCAGACACTGCTGGCCTGGGAGAGCATCTCCAATGAGCTGTGAAACAACCCCATTTTCCATCAATTCCCCCACTCTTCCTCCTCTTCTCCTCTCCTCTGTTCTTCTCTCCCACCACCCACACCGCTATCCCCCTGGCTATTGAGAGTGTTTGGTGGCTTAATTGTCTCATCTGTAGGGTCAGCATATCTGTGTATGTGTGTGTGTGTCAGAGGGGCATGCACATGTAACTCCTCTACCACCTACAACGTTTTCCTGTCTGGTATAATGCAGGTCTGCTTTCCCTTAGTACAGTTACCATGCATGCACACACACTCAACCCATCTGCACACACATACTGTGCTTCAGCTCTGTCCTTGTGTGTGTGCGTGTTTATGTATGAATTAACAATTTCATGATGATGCCTTTGTCTTCCGTCTCTGTGTGTGTATATGTGTGTGTACACAAGAGTGTGTGGGTGTGTGTGTGTGGTCTTCACTTAACTTCTTCTGTCTCATCTAATGAAATACACACACGCAGTCTACACACACAGAGCCAGTGTACAGTGACGCACCTTGTCATTACAGTAATGATAAGCCCAGTGGAGAACAATTAAGGCTTTGGAGAGTGAAGCTTGTCGGCGCCTCTCACTGACATTAAACACACCAGGTAAAAAGAAAGAGACAGGGTTTTAAAATGGTATAGAATTATAAAGGAGCCTTTCATCCAAAATAAATCATGACTTAATCTTGGACAGAAATCCTTTTGTCAGCAAAGAACTGAAACTGAGTCAAGAAATTTGTCTCATCATTCGGAACAAGCTCATTACAACACGCAGTGTGAGTACCGCTGTGCAGTACAGTGCCATCATAAGCAGACAGACTATTTTGGGTCCCAGCCCACAGGTTACGCAGCGTAATCATGACTGATGAGTTCCACAAGCCACATTAAACCAACTTAACCCTATTTTTATAGATTTGACTTGATGGCAGTGAAACGTGTTCCTCCAGCATCCCCATCATTTAAAGTTTGGCCATCTGGAGAACTGAACCGGTGGAAGCAGGGCCACAGATCTCCTGCATCATTTCAGAGATCTTTCACTTTGTCGCTATCTCTCTCTCCCATAATCTTATTCAGACTTTGATGTGATGGACAGGAAATAGTTGCTGCTTTATTGGCTTCTGTGGAGCATTCCTGGTTCTGTCTGGACTTTCTACAGACCTGGCAAGTCCACCCAAAGGAGCAATTATTATTTTACCCTGGAGGAAAAACCAGAGAGTTGAAGGGCCTTCCGTAGCTTTCATCCGGCAATTTTGGTCAGGGACAAACGATGTCCACACAGGATGCACAAGAACAATGTTCAGCACTGAAAAAAAGAGTGTGCTCAAGAAATAGATGAGATGAACATTTCTGTTGTGTGTGAACATGTATATGTCCATGTATATCTTTGTGTGCTTTTGTATGAGCATCTGTGAGTGTATATACAGTAGTTGCCTCTCCTGATGGAACATTTCCCTGGGGAGAAAAGCTCTGGAGTTCAGAGTTCAACTTGAGATTTCACTTTGATGATGCTGTTTGTTTGGTTAAGACTCTGAGGGGTGATGTGGCTGAGGAGGAGCTGTAGCAAAAGAATCAAAGAACCTCAGGGGAAGATTGATAAGGGAGGATGTTTGAAAGATGAACACGAGTTAGGAAGTGAGATGCAGAGGGGTTTGCAGTGGCTGGGAATGCATCAACATGGATATAAGAAACAAAAAGTGTGTGAGAGGAGCCAGAGGGAGGAAAAGGAGATTAATGGATGAGTGTGAAGGGCCAAAAAAGAAGACTAGCAGGAGGAAGTGGTCTCAGCTTGTCAACTCTGCCCCGAGGGGATCATTCATCACTATGGATAGTGTGTATGCATGTGTGCAATTATGTGGGATGCGTGTGTGTCATGGTCCACACTCCTGTGGGTTGAGGACACTAAGGGAGAGAAAGGACAAAGACTTGTTAGGGTTTAGTATGGTTGAAAAGATGAAAAGTGCATGTATGACAGTGTGTGTGTGTGTGTGTGTGTGTGTGTGTGTCTGTGTCCAGTGTGAAAAAGACATCAGCTAAAAGGAGTAGTGGCTGAGTTGTGGAAAGGTCAGGCACTGATGGCGACTGCGAGACTCGAATGGAAAGAGTAAACAGGGAGGAACAGCTGAAGATGCATCTTTAACTGTTCCTTTCTCCTTCTGCCTTTCCATTTTTTCCAGACACTGAGGGAAGAGGGCTTTACAAAACATAAATAAAGTGAGGTAGAATAAAACAGGCTTGGCACAATCGTTCCTACTTGTTGGTGTCTACGTTTTTTCATCTTATATTTCATACATGTCTGTGCTAGTTAGACATGGCTTATTTAGCATGGGAATAAATCATAATAGGAGCTTCTAAGAAGTTGCAGCAAAGATGAAAGAAGCAGAATTAAGGATGTGTAATTCTTTTAATAACATACCTGTAAGCCAAAGTGTTTCGATGCCATGACACACAACCACTAATGCATGCAGAAGCATGGTTAGATATGCACATAAGCAAACAAACTGAACTTAGACTTTGCGATTAGCTCACTCAGCTCAGTTTCTCTCACCCTGCAGGCGTCTTGATGCTAACCTGCTGTCTGAGGTTCCAGCTAGGGCCTTTACAGGAGTTCACTCTCTGAGACACCTGTGGTTGGATGACAACTCCCTAACAGAGATCCCGGTGCCAGCCCTGGATTCTCTGCCCTCTCTGCAGGCCATGACATTGGCCCTCAACCAGATCACACACATTCCAGATTATGCATTCACCAACCTCTCCGCCCTTGTTGTACTGTAAGTGACATCTTGATTTGTTTACTCAAAATTCTGGGTTTCTCAGCTTACCAGAGTATTACTTGTTCCACTGACTTAGTACAGACAGGGCTGTGATGATTGCACTGTGGAAACATTTTTGAGAAAATAATTTCTGATTTGTTGAAAAGTTGTGGCCTTTCTCCAGACATCTCCATAACAACCAGATCCAGAGCATGGGCGCAAGATGTTTTGAAGGTTTACACAGTTTGGAGACACTGTGAGTATATCACACACATGCCACATACACATGTCCAAAGACACACTTTCTGGACAGTGGCTGTTAGTAAAAATTTATAAGACACTTTCACAATCTTACACACACTCAAACTGACATGCACATACCCTTAACTGATTTTACTTCATGGGTTCTAATGAGTATGTCCTCTGTTTGCCCAAACACTAAAACAGGCTTTGTTTGAAAAAGTATCAGCAAGTATCAACATTCATTCTGTATGGTAGTGTATACTATAATCACATTGCCTTAGAATAACCCTAAGACATATAAAGAACTCACTGAAATATAACCTCAGAAAGTAAATATAACAAAGAACCATCAAATTACTCACATTATTTGTCTGACTAGCGGTGTTAGTTTGGGCATAAAAGTGTTTGGTGTTACTTGGACCACCTGAAATTATAAATCATATGTACCAAGAGTGCCATATTAAATCATAATGATGAATATCCTGGTAATTTCAGCAGGTGCTTGAACATTTCTCCAAACCACAACCAACAAATGAACGACAGGAATGCGTAGATGAAAAGTTCCTCTTTGTTTACCTTGAACTAACATTAATTGCTAAGCAGCATTGAGGTCAAATATGGCTCAGAATGGCTACAGGAAAGCTGTTAAACGCTGTAGCTTTAATATACTGGATCCTAACCACACACCAACATGGAAAACTGTAGAAAACTGACACAGTCTTATAAAAAAGGTGGAATAAGAAATCAAAAGAAATGGAGACATTGTAATGCTGTCTCCTGCAAAAGTCATGGTGGTCTGATGAAAACAGTTTCTGGCATGCTGCTTAACAATGTGTTGAAGAATAAAAAAATGATGTGTTGCTTTTTATGAGCATGTGTGTGGGCTCACACATGTAAGCTAGTACTTCTGCTTGTGCCCTTCTAAGCCTATGGACAGTTTAACACTGGGCTTAAAAGCCATTATCCATGCTGGGAAATGTGAGGGAACAGGTTGTAAGTCAGGGGAGACATGGCTAAGAGGATGAAGGGAAATGAGAGAATATGAAAAAGAGGAATGGGGCTCTCTGTACCAGAATAGTATGTGTTAACACATTTGGGCCATCAGTGGTGGG